CGATGGTGAATCCCATCTCTACTAAAAATACAAAAATTAGCCGGCATCGGTGGTGGCCACCTGTATCCCCAGCTACTTGGGAGGCTGAGGCAGGGAGAATCGCCTTGAACCAGGAGCTGGAGTTTTCAGTGAGGTGAGACCCATGCCACTGCACTCCAGCCCTGGCAACAGACGGACTCTCAAAAAAAAAAAAAAACTCCGCAATCTGGTCCATTCCAGGTGTCCTCACATCACATCCAGTCACATCTCACAGGAGCTTCGGGCCTCTGGACACTCAGGTCTCCTTGAAGGAGCTTCCTCCAGCCCCAAGGGACCCGCACATGCCCGTCACATCCAGCTCAGTGCAGGAGCACAAGGACAGGGGCTGCCTTTCTGCCTTCTGCAGGGGTCCTGTGAGACTCCCCCTGGGCATAGCCTGGCAGCCCCCAATACCTGGAGGCGCAACAGAAGCTGAGGGCCAGGCTCAGCCCAGAGGAAATGAGGAGGAAGGAGACCAGCAAGTCCCTCCCTCAGGACGAACACTGGTTACCTCTTATGAGGAGCTGTTGCCCTCAGGGTGCCCACAGGGATATCACTAACACTACAGAGCACTTGCTCCGCTCAGTTCCACTTGACATAGACTCATTTCATCCTGCTAACAACCTTATGAGGTAAGCACTGTTTTAATCCCCATTTCACTGAGAAGTTGGGGCGCTGAGAGGCTAAGTAACTTGCCCAAGGCCTCCCAGCATATACATGGCCGAGCCAGGATTTAAATTCAAGTAACATGTGCCCTCAACTCACTTTGCCAGTCTGCTAGGAAACTGCTGGAGTTTCCTTTTTTTTTTTTTTTCCTGAGACTGAGTCTCTCTCTGTCACCTAGGCTGGAGTGCAGTGGCGCCATCTCAGCTCACTACAAGCTCCAACTCCCAGGTTCACATCATTCTCCTGCCTCAGCCTCCTGAGTAGCTGGGACTACAGGCACCCACCACCACACCCAGCTGATGTTTTGTATTTTCAGTAGAGACAGGTTTCACCGTGTTAGCCAGGATGGCCTCGATCTCCTGACCTCGTGATCCACCCGCCTCAGCCTCCCGAAGTGCCGGGATTACAGGCGTGAGCCGCCGCGCCCGGCCAACTGCTGGAGTTTCTTAATTGTCATGTTGGTGGCTTTGTGCGACTCCATCTTTGGCCTCCACACAGTGCAAGGGATGTTGCCTTGCCTTTGAGGCAGCAGGATGAGACAGTGGGTGGCTGGGTTGGGATTCCCAAGGCAGAGTAGATAGTGGCAGCTGCCAAAGAGTGGAGGACCAGGTGAAGGGCCAGGGGCAGCGGCACGCGGGGCCAGGACCCGAAGCCAGAAGAGGCCAAACCAAAGAGGGCCTGGCCGCATCCCAAGCTCCCAGCAGCTCCAGCACTCCCAGCCCTTTGCGCCTGTGGGCCCAGGTCATGCTCCCTCCTTGCACTTGAGGCCAGGCACGCAAACCACAGTGGGAAGAAATTCCTCCAAGGAATCAAGGCCTTGAAGAACAGGGTCCAAGGTTCTTTTGACTACAGGGCCCTGCTCAGGCAGGCTGGCCACCCACAGCAGGTTCTGAGGGGAAGCCCTGGCTCGGGCACCCTGCGGGGCATAGGCTCAGTAAAATCAACTGCGAGTCTGGAATCAGGCCATTACCTTCTTCTCCTGGGTCCCTCAGAGGTTCTGACTGACGCCCGAAAGAGTACAGGAGAACAGGGCCAGCCGAGCACAGAACTGCACGCAGGGCAGCTCCTCTGTGGTGGCAGTCGAAGGAGCCCAGGGGCAGGGGGCAGGCCCAGCTGCCTGGGCAGCAGGTTTTCCTTGAAGGCCAGGACATGCCCCTTAGGTCAGTCTCTGGGGTCCTCCTCCAGGGTCTCAGGCTGGGGCAGCCTCTGCTCTCCCCAGGCCTGTGAGGGGCAGACCATCTCTGGACTCAGGAACCATGGCCAGGTTGGGGGTCACGTGAGCTGGGCTTCCCTCCTCTCTGCTTCCTCCAACTCCCTTGCCAGGCCTTGGTCCGCTGACAATCTTGAGATGTGTTTCCCACTCCACTCCTCCCTGGTGATCTCATCCACTCCCGCTCTCAGTGACCCTGGTGCTAAGTGTTCCCAAGCCTGTGTCTGCAGACTAGACTTCTCCCTGCGAACCCAGCGGCCCCGAGGCATCTCCCCTGAAATCCTGCATCCAACACTGAATCCCCATTGCCCCGACCTGCTCTTTGTCCATGCACCCAGCAACCAAGCCAGAAGCCAGGGCGGTTTTTTCTGATACCTACCTACTCCCCATATCCAAAGTCAACAGGTCCTATCAGCAATTCCTCCCTCCTGTCTCGGAGTCTGTTCCTATGTCACACCTTAGTCAGGTCTTATCACCTTCTCTCAGTGTCTCCCCCTAATCCATCTCTGCACAGCAGCCAGAATGACTTTTCTATCATGATTATGTCATGCCCTTGCACAAAAAAAGTCCACAGATGAGCCTCCGTTGTTCTCGGGTTGAAGTGTGAGCTTGGCATCCAAGACCCTAACAGATCCAGTCCACTCTTGGGCTTCCTCACTGCCATGGGCACCTCTCAGACACTACACTCAAGTCCTCCTCAATCTCCCGCCAAGCACCTCACTACATTTGCCAATGCCTCACTTCCCTTCTGTACCAGCTCATTCCTCAAAGGCTGACACTGTACTTGGGGAACACATAGGGGTGGCTGCCTGGCTCATGAGAACTGCCTCTTGTCTGAGAATGATCTGGAACAAACAGATAGGTTCCCAAAACCATGTCCCTTGGACTCACAGCAGATTATGCTTTAAGCCCCTGTATACTTGACCAAAGCTAGGCCAAACTGATTCTCTTGTCTGAGCACTTGAAACTTGGAATTGAGAGTTTAGAAGTCCTGGTTATAGAGAGTCCCATCAGTGCCCCTAAATAACAGGATGCTAGATGTGAAATGCCTGACCTCTGGCTGCTGGGACTGCCTGCTTCCTGCTGTCCCTTTGATTCTATGCAACAGCCAGGATTCTCCCCCAAACTCCTTTCTATTGCTTGCAATTAAAAATAGCTTAACTCAAGTCTTTTCCATCTTAAAACTAGCTCCCTTGTGCAAGAATCTGAGGATACAGAATAAGACACAGCCTGGGGCCTCAGGGAGCTCCCAGTTTAGCTATGGGGGCAGGCATAGTAAGGGGCAAGTACAAACTGTCATAGAGATTAAAATAAGCCTGTAAATCCCAGCACTTTGGGAGGCAGAGGCAGGAGGATTACTAAAGTCTAGGAGTTCGAGACAAGCCTGGGTGATACAGTGAGACGCCATCTCTACAGAAAATAGCCATGCACAGTGGCACATGCATGTATTCCCAGCTACTTGGGAGGCTGAGATGGGAGGATCACTTAAGCACAGGAGGTCGAGGCTACAGTGAGCTGTGATAGCCCCACCATACTGCAGCTTGGGTGATAGAGAAAGACCCTGTGTCGAAAAAAAAAAAAAAAAAGATGGCCAGGTGCAGTGGCTCACACCTGTAATCCTACCACTTTGGGAGGCCGAGTCACCTTTTGGAGGGCAGATCACCTGAGGTCAGCAGTTTGAGACCAACCTGGCCAGTATGGAAAAACCCCATCTCTACTAAAAATACAAAAATTAGCTGGGTGTGGTGGTGGGTGCCTGTAATCCCAGCTACTTGGGAGACTGAGGTGGGAGAATCGCTTGAACATGGGAGGTGGAGGTTGCAGTGAGCCAAGATTGCGCCACTGCACTCCAGCCTGGGCAATAAGAGCAAGACTCCGTCTCAAAACAAACAAACAAAAAGATGAAAACAAAATGTGGGCAGGACAATACTAGAGAAGGGCTCATGGAAGGTGTTGTGGAGGGGGGAACATCTGAGCAGTGTCTTCTAGCTCTGAGAGATAAAGCCCAGCTCCAGAAAAATAAAAATGAGTGACAATTTTTTATTTTTATTCAAAATGAAAATAGATTTATTAATTCCTGTGAAAAACATATTATAACCAGATTACCCACTTTATTTATAGGAAAACAATTCATTAAGAAGCTGGCTGGGCACAGTGGCTCACGCCTGTAATCCCAGCACTTTGGGAAGCCAAGGTGGGCAGATTACCTGACATCAAGAGTTTGAGACCATCCTGGCCAACATGGCGAAACCCCGTCTCTACTAAAAATATAAAAATTAGTGGCTGGGTGCAGTGGCTTATGCCTGTAATCCCAGCACTTTGGGAGGCCGAGGCAGGTGGATCATGAAATCAGGAGATCGAGACCATCCTGGCTAACACAGTGAAACCCTGTCTCTACTAAAAATACAAAAAATTAGCCGGGCGTGGTAGCAGACACCTGCAATCCCAGCTACTTGGGAGGCTGAGGCAGGAGAATCACTTGAACCTGGGAGGCGGAGGTTGCAGTGAGCCAAGACGTGCCATTGCGCTCCAGCCTGGGCAACAGAGTGAGACTCCGTCTCAGGAGAAAAAAAAGAAAAATGAAAAAAGAAAAAATGAAGCTTGGCACTGGTTTTCACCTGCACAAATGTTACCATCTGGGCATATTTGAAATGCTGGCAGGTAGGCAGGCCATCACAGTCATAGAGGATTTAGGAGAAGAGTAGCATAGGCAGGGGGACCAATGTGAGCAAAGGTGCCTGGGGAAACTGCATGGCAAGTGGTGGGAGGGAGAATAACATTTAGTTCGAGAGTAAAGTAGGGGAAGGCAAGAAAAGAAACCAAGAGGCCCGGAGGCATGATCACAGAGGGCCTTATATCCACACTCAAGCCTTTGTTTGGCTTTATCCTGAGAACAGCAGGGAACCATTGAGAGTTATTGAGCAAGGGAGGGTCATTGTCACTTTGCTGGCTAGTGTCAGGAAAGTGAGGTTTACTCCATCCCTGACCAACCTTTAAGCCCCAGCCACCCCTGTCCCTGAGGTTCGAGGAACCCCCGTGTCATAACCACTGTCCTTAAGCTGTCAGGCATGGAGGGAATGGGGAGGGTCCAAAGATGGGAGCTCAGAGGGAGAAGTTGTCCCTGCTACCCTCTGTCCCCAGCTCGCCAGTCCCAGGCTGAATGTAATTGTCCTCGATGAAGCCATCATCATCCTCATCTTCAGCCACCTGTGGGCGGCCCCCCCTTCCTGTCCCAGGCAGTGGGCGGTGCCGGTAGCTGGCATGGTATCGGCGGCAGAGGTGGCATTTGGCAGCCAGTGCGATGAGGAGCGAGAGGACCACAGCCCCCAGCACAAATCCTACCAGCACAGGCCACGCCCGAGCCCCAGTGCCTGGGCCAGGGGCCACAGCAGATGCTGTGGGGAGCTCCGAGGGCCCCACAAGTGCTGCAGAGAAAGGGATAGCATTATAGGTGGGCCCCAGAGGGGGCTCCCTGGAGAAACCAACAGGAGTGCGGGTAGGGTCCTTCCCCCAACCCCAGCCTCTAAGGGGAAGCCCCTCACCCCCATCATCCTCCCACTGTCACTCACTTTTGTTTGTCTCATTCATGGAGGGGCCTGATGACACCAGTGAGTCTCAGCCTCAACCAGAAAGAGCCCTGGCTCTGAGGACGCCCCCAGATGCCAGGCAGCCCCAGGGCACAAGTCCTAGAAAATAACGTAGGTATGGGTGTCAGGGACGGTCACAGGGTGCACTTTCCAGGTCACACTCACAGCCATGGTAGTGCTGCACAAACTCTGGGGACTGGACAACTGACCACACCAGTTGTCCACAGAAGAGAAACAAGCTGAGCCTACAGAAACTGGCTATCTGTAAGGGACCATCACAGGGTTTTGCTCTGGAAGATGCTAAAAAAAAAAATAACTAAATTGTAGAACTTACTGAGCATTCCTTGTAATTCAAGCACCAGGCATCATGCTCACAAAACCCAGTAAGGTAGGTATAAACATTATCCCCACTTTATAGATGAGGGCTCTGAGGCTGAAAAAGGTGAACTGACTCAACCAAAGTCCTCACATTCGAACCCAGAGCCCAGTCTGTTGCACTGCTTGGTGAGCTAAGGATGGGAGACAGGAGCAGAGGCGGGTCCTGGCTCCCAAAGGTCAGAAAACAGCAATTGCTTGGAGCTACCCAGCCAAAGCGGAGACTACATATGGGGAGAGTGATGCAAGTCCCGGCTGAGGACAGGGGCCCTGGACACAGCCAGAGCAGCCCTGGCCCTTCTGCCTCTAAGTTGAAAGCAGCTGCTGCCCACCTCTACTCTCAGCCCTTCAAGCAAATCCCTGTCCATTCACCTCTACTTACAGAAGGCCCACACTCTGCCCCTAGAGGGAGGCTCAAGCCAGGGAGTATTCAAATGAGGATCACCTGAATCAGGAAATTACCACCCAGGGCTGGGGACACCTACAGGAGGAACACTTCAATTAGGGGAGTAGCTGGAGGAAGATCATCCAAGCTTGGAAACACCTGGAGTGTCTGGAGGAGGCACACCTGAATCTGGGGAGTATCTAGAGGAGGAGCATGAAAGTTAGAAGTACCTGGCAGACGAAGAGCTAGGGCAGGAGCGTATCTGCAGGTGGAGCACCTGAACCAAGGGAGTCCTTGGGGGCAGAGGAGCCAGGCTAGGAAAGTACTTAGGAGAGAAGCTGAGGGGAGTACCCCAGTATATTCTTTGATACAAGTGCCTTCAAAATTCCCCCCCACCTCCTCACGTCCAACCTGGCATCAAGCCCCATCATCTCTTCCACTAAACATCTCTGGAATGACAATACCCTTCTCTCCACCCCTCTGCCACAGCTGAGTCCAAGCCACCTTCCTCTTGTACTCTAGCCATAATCTCCTAACTGGTCTCCCCACCTCTGGTCTCTTTCCCAGAGTGATTGGCCTAGAACCCAACTCTGACCCCATCACTAGCCTGGTTAAAATCCCTTTAAACGCTCCCCATTCCCCACAGTGCCTTGCAATCCAGCACATGGCCCTCAAGCCAAACTCTTCTTCCTCTTCTCCACAGTTCCCTCCCCAGCACTCCAGACAGACACACACGCCACCCTCCCACTCACCCACCCTCCTGCTCCCTGGCCACACCCTCCTCAGTTTTTGGGGCCCCAGTCTGTCAAGGCCAAATCAGACCATACCTGCCTGTGAGGTTGTCCCTGGACCTACCCTGGGTGACCTGTCACCATCCTGCCCAGTCAACCATCAGTCAGAACCAGTCATTGCTAGGCGGGCAGCTCCCCGTGGTCAAGTGCTGGCTGATGGATCTGTACCCTCGTGCTGCAGGGAGCTGGGCACTCAGCCGCTCAGTGTGGTGCTTGTGACATTAACGAGGGGAGCAGGAGAGACGTCCTAGGAAGGAGAGGTCACCTGCTCATTCATTTCTCAGCCTGCTGTGGGCCTCATCCTAGCACTAGGTCCGCAAAACATGACAATGTGTAACACTGGAATGAACTGAATTCAATCTGACGTTTCTAAGGTTGTACTCCTATTCCTTTCCTCCCTGCCCTGTGGATTCTTCCCAAGAAGACACACACACACTAACCTTCCAAGGGCACATATACACTCCCCAACAAGCCTCTGAACTCACAGCCCAAGCTGACCTGCCCATCCCCCATACACACATACGCATAGTCGCCCCTCCCCCCAGGTCACACTTTCCTCCACCAACAAACACACCCTCTGACATGCACAGACACCTACCCCCACTCTGATGTGTAGCTTCTTTCCCGCTGCCAGGAGCCCCTGAGGATCTGTGCAGAGCCTGGGTACCCCCTCCCCGGCCCCCCCGAGCCTTCTGTTCCCACCTCAAGAACTGTGCACAGTCCGCGGAGTAAGCTTCCGGCTGGGGCCGGCAGAACCTGGACAGGTGGGCGGGTCAAGGCCAAGCTTGACTCACCTGCGGAGGCAGTGGGCGGGGCCGAAGTTGCAGGTCGGGCAGAGGGCGGGCTGCGGCAGTCCTCCAGTGGGGAGGGATCATTCTACGTCTCCCCCAAGCTTTTGCCAAGAACTTTATGGGTGTAGACCTCACCCTCACCCCCCAATGCTGGGGGTTTGTACAGCTGGGATCCAGAGAAGGGTCCAGCGGCCCCTAGAGGGACAGACACCTCAGCAGGCAGATGCTCAGGCTGATAAACAACTGAATGTCCGGTGACTGGTACAAAGTCCAGAGTTGAAGCAGGAGCTTTGCAGGCCTGTAAGGGTGGTGGGCTGGAACCAGAGCGGGTGGGGAGGGCATTCTCTCCAGGCAAAGCCAGAAGGACCAAGAACTGTCCCAAATTGCCTGCAAATGGGTGTGTAACTGTGTAGGGGGTGAGTGGTGGATCTGGATGGGGGCTCAACCTTCATCTGGATCTCAGGATTCTGTGACCCCACAAGCCAGCCTCTGAACCTCTCCCGGGTGCTCTCTGATTCCCTTTAGCTTTACTCCTCGTCTCTGGGCCTGGTGCCCCCTGTTCTTCAAGTTCCAGTTCAGGAATCACCTTCCCTGAGCCCTCCCTCTACTCTGCAAGCCCCTACTCTTCCACGCACAGAGCAGCCACAGCATTCCTCATTATCTTGTGATTATTCGCTTTCCCAGGGTGGGGCCAGGCTTTGACAGCCTGTGGCTCCCAGCACAGTACTGAACCAGGCCAGGCTCCCCGTAACTACCTAAGGGAAGAAGGACAGCATGTGCCAAGGCCTGGAGGCCCCGAATTCACAAGGAGAGACAGGGCACAGTGGGAACAAGGGCTGCAGAGAGGCCAGGCATGGTGGCTCACGCCTGTAATCCCAGCACTTTGGGAGGCCGAAGCGGGTTGATTGCTTGAGCCCGTGAGTTGGAGATCAGCCTGGGCAGCGTAGGGAGACCCCATCTCTACTACGAACACAAAAATTAGTTGGGCGTGATAATGCTCACCTGTAGTCCTAGCTACTGGGGAAGCTGAGGCGGGAGGACTGCCAGAGCCCAGAAGTTTTAGACTACAGTGAGCCATGATTGTGCCATTACACTCCAGCCTGGGCTACAGAGCAAGACCCTGTCTCAAAAAAATAAAAGGGGGGGTACAGAGAGGAGATGCAAACAAGGCATGGTAGAACTGTGGCTGGAAGGTGGAGGCCAGTTCACACTTGGCCTTGAAAATCTTAGGTTGAAATCTGAACCCTCAGGGCATCCCTTCCCACCTATCCTGCCTCCTCTGCTGCAGTTATACCAAACTATTTTCTTTTTTCTATTTTCTTTTTTTTTTTTTTTTTTGAGACAGAGTCTCTGTCACCCAGGTTAGAGTACAGTGGTGCTATCTCAGTTCACTGCAACCTGCGGCCCTGGGGTTCAAGCGATTCTCCTGCCTCAGCCTCCCGAGTGGCTAGATTACAGGCATGCACCACCACACCCAGCTAATTTTTGTATTCCTAGGAGAGACAGGTTTTTGCCATGTTGGCCAGGCTGGTCTCGAACTCCTGACCTCAAGTGATCTGCCCGCCTCAGCCTCCCAAGTGCTGGGATTACAGGCATTAGCCACTGCGCCCGGCCACCAAACTCTCTTCTATTCCCTGAACCCACCATGCCCTCTCATCTCCCTGGCTCTGCTCCCTTCTCCTGGGACTCCTGCCTTCCCCACTCTCCACTGCACCCCTGCAGATGGTGGCCCTTCTCCCCTATATCCTGAACCATGTCGGGTGTGATTTTCTCTTTAGTTTCCCCCAACCTGTAAACCCTGGGAGTGGGCTCTGCATTGGTCTTATTTCCATCATATCCCCCATATCTAAAATGGCAACAGTATACTCTTCTGAAACAAATTTGAGGAAAGAGAGGATTATCCTGGATGGGGCAATGAGGCACCAAGAAGGGCTTAGGGTTTTACTTTGTTTTTGAAGCAAGGAAATCATGAGATTCAACTGATATTCATTGAGCACCTACCACGTCCTAGACACTGTGCCAGGTTTTGTTAAATTGAGGTGTTCATATACCATAACCTAATTCATATAACATAAAATTCCCCATGTTAGCCATTTCCTGGTACACGGTTCAGTAGTGTGTAGTACATTCATAATGTCATGCAACCATCACTCTAGTTCTAAAACATTTTCATCACCCCAAAGGGATACCCCTGACCAATTAAGCAGTATTTCCCACGTCCCTTTCCCCCCAGTCTTTCACGACCATTAATTTGCTTTCAGTCTCTATGGATTTGCCTGTTCTGGATATTTCATATAAATGGAATCACATTTATGCCAGCTTTTTAATGAACTGTTTCACTTAATCCTTGTAACCACGCTATGAGGTAGATGTTAACTGTCCCCTTAATGGAAAAGGAAAATGAGGCTGTGAGAAGGTAATTGGCATGAAGTCCTGCAGAGGAAAACAAGCAAAGGGTCTGCACATCCGTCATTCAGTAATTTATTCAATGAATATTTTTTGAATGGCCACCAGAGTCACAGCCAGCCCATATGTCACACATTGCTGAAAAGCAGATGACTAGCTGCTGGACAGCCCCACATCGTGGAGAGCAGAGGGCAAACTGGGTATCAGCACCCACGGCTCCTCAGCCAAGAGCTCTGATGTAGTGAACAACCTTTACAACCTTCTGTGGCAGCCCCGGCAACCATGTGGTAGGCTCTGTGCTAGCTTGTGGGACAATTTCTGCCGCCATAAAGCTTCCATTCTGGTGGATAAGACGAACAATACACAAAGAAATAAATAAGATTATTTCAGATAACAGTAAGTGTTGGGAAGAAAACAGCTTCGTGATAGCTCCATGTGAACATGAGGCGGCTGCTACTTTAGATAGTCGGAAGAGGGGACTCACTGAAGAGGGCACATTGGAGCTGAGATCTGCCTAGGAGTGAGACAGCGATTGTGCCAATATCTGGGGGCAGAGCATTCCAGCTAAAGGGAACCGCCAGCACAAATGCTGAGATGCAGGAGCACGGCTGGCTTGTTCAACTACAGCAAGGCAGCCGCTGGATGGAGTGCAGAAAGATGGGGGCAGATCTGAGGGGCTACACCAGGTGATGTCAGGAGCTATTCCTGAGGGGCCTCATCGGATCTCTCCGGGAGATGGGAAGTCACTGGGCATGTGAGCAGAGGACTGCTCTTAGCATTGTAAAGGAACTGGTCTGTCTTCTGCATGAAGTATGGACCAGGGGAGGCCAGGGTAGAAGCAGGAGGCCAGTTAGGAGGCTGCTGCAATCATCGAGGGGAAAGGACATGTGGCAGCCGGGAAGTCTGGTGAAGGTGGGGACAAGTGCTCAGACTCCAGATATATCTGAAGGTAAAGTTGACATGATTGGCTGATTAAATGTGGGGCTTGAGAAAAAGAAAGGATTCAAGAATAACTCCAAAGTTTTGGCCTGAGCAACTGGAAGACTGGAGCTGTCATTTAATGAAGTGGGAGGAGTCTGGGAGGGAAACTAGGACCTCAGTTTTGGACACATTGGATGCCTGTGAGCCATCCGGTAGCATCCTGAGTAGAGCGTAGCGTCAAGTGGCCTGGATGCAATGGGCGGTGGGGACTAGAAATATACACTTAGGAACCAACAAAACATAGATGATTATCAAAGCCAGGCATCTGGATGAGATCCTCAAGGATAAGTGTAGAGAGAGAGGAGCCCTGGAATGTGCCAGGAGTAGAGGTCAGAGTGGGGAGGAAAAGCAGGAAAGGAGACCAGGGAGGGTCCCACAAAGTAGGAGGCAAATGTGGGAGAGTCCTGGCCAGGGAAGAAAGCGTTTCAAGGGCAAGGGCTCAGCTAGCTTGGTTAGTCAAATGCTGCAGGAAGGTTTTTGAAGATAAGGGGTGAGAATTGACCTTTGAAATTGGCAAAGTGGAGATCACCAGTGACCTTGACAAGAGCAGGGGTTTTTTGTGTTTTGGTTTGGTTTGGTTTGGTCTTTTTTTTTTTTGGAGATGAAGTCTTGCTCTGTAGCCCAGGCTGGACTGCAGTGGCATGATCTCAGTTCTCTGCAACCTCTGCCTCCCAGGTTCAAGCGATTCTCCTGCCTCAGCCTCCCAAGTAGCTGGGAATACAGGCGCACGCCGCCACACCTGGCTAATTTCTGTAGTAGAGACGGGGTTTCACCATGTTGGCCAGGCTGGTCTTGAACTCCTGACCTCAAGCAATCCGCCTGCCTCGGCCTCCCAAAGTGCTGGTATTATAGGCGCGAGCCACTGTGCCCAGCAATGAGAGCAGTTTTAAGAGACAAGAGAGTGTTCTGGGGTCAACCGCCTGATTGGAGTGAAGCATAAGTATGGGACCAGAGGAAGTGGAGGCCACGCCTCCAAGGAACTTTGCTATAGAAGGAGCAGAGACATGGGACTGACCCTGGAGATGGGTGTGGGACTAAGGGAGGATTTTGCTTTAAGGGGAGGAGCTGTTAAACCATGTGTGTAATGCTGGCCAGAATAAGCCAGGAGAGACCGGAAACTGATGATGCAGAAGGAAGAGAAGGGACAAGGCAAGTGTGGAGTCCCTGAGGAATTGAGAGGGTGGGGTCAAGGGCACGGGGAGGGTTGGCAGCAGAGTCCCTCTGAGTCACAGGAGGAAGGTGGCTTAGACAGGTGAAATGCACTAGGTCTGCAATGGGAACCTTAGGAAGCTTTCCCCTGATGGCTTCCATTTTTCCAGAGAAATAAGAAGCAGTGTCCTCAGCTGAGTGAAGAGCAGGAAGAGGGTGCTGAGGCTGAAGAGAAGAAAAGGTGTGAATCCACCACCCCAGAGCA